GCTCCTGTTGTTGTGGAGTGACTCATTCAGCCAGCTATGGCTCTAGGGTTTGGTGTTACATGTTATTTATGTAGTTTATTATTAAAAATTCGGTCACAGTCCCTATGATCACTGTTACATTGCATTTATGGCGTTATTTTGGTGATTTCGAAAAGTTTTTTGGTTTGGCCATGGTATGGAGTATGGAGGCCTTCATCCACCAGTGGGTTGAAAGGGCTGTCTTATTGTTTAACTAGATACTATGCGGGAGTTGAAACAACGGTGTTTCTCCCTGCCGCCTGTCTACTCGGCAAGGTCGTATGTGATGGGATTGAGTTGCAGTGGGTACTCCCACCTCTTCAGAAGTGTGTGGTTTAGCGTTTGAAAGTTCAGCTACATTTCCTCGACAAGGGCATTGGCATGAGAAAGTAAATGCGGGGCTGCACCATTACCTTTTATAGTTCATATCAAGTCACACAGAGAGAAAATAACTTTCTTTAGAGTGCATGTATATTTGGTCGCTTTACAATCCAAAGTAATTCCACAGGGGTATCAGTGATTCTCATAGATGTTGCTAAGTACCAGAGTATGACAGTGTATGCTGTGGAAAATAACATGTGGGAACCTATAACTCTTCCATTCTCAAAACTCCATATATCAAAATAAGGAATTTTGGAAGCAATTCTTCAATGTGGGCATCAACCCTTTCACCTTTCTACTCCAGGGGAGAATAAAAGTGTACATTAAAATAATTGGGAAGGCATATGGAAAAAAAACACTGCTATGTCGAATGCATAATTACGTATCACAAAACAATTATATTGTTTGTGGAAATGTATAGTTTTTGTGTGTATTCAGCAAGTAAAAAATAGAATGTACAGCCCATTGTCAACCCACTCCTCAATAAAGGCCTCCACACGATGTGTCAGATATTGGGGTTTATTTTTACCATACTTCACCACCGGCGAGTGCATTTTGGTGGAGACAAGGAAGTCCAGTTTCGGTTCAGATATTATATATCATTCACCACTAATCCATGCCATCGCTGGGAACGAAACTAATTATATACGTCTATATATATACTTGTATATAATTATCAGGTCGCCAGATTCATAGTGTAGCATTCCTACCATTGCACCACCACTTCCCCCCAATGACTTTGATCTCATAAACTTTGTTCGGGGTTTGTAATATTACTCAAGACTGTTTACATGTGCGTTCTAAGATAGGCATTCGTGTGAATGTTTTTTTTATCATTAATGTGCAATTTATGTTTACACCATTATTACTTTTTTCAAATTCACGCTTATTTACCATGTTATTTTAGTCAAGGTTATCGTGTGTATATACACCATATAGAGTGTGTGTATGTATACCATATCTTATTCGTATGTTTTATCCATAACAACTTTCCATAGCAAAAGTAGCCAGACTCATGCAAATGTACCTCTATTGCAATCCATCACTGTACACCTGATGTAATGCAGAATACAAGTTCCATGCAACAAAGTTTGTTACAGCTTGCAAGGTGACAGAAATATGCGTCTCAAGAGGAGAGATGTCAAAGACAAAAAAATAAATTTGGAACTTCAAATTGCTTACATTTCTGAATGCTGGTTATGAGTGTTTTAAGTTGAATAATGAGTATTGTGCAATGAATGTAGGTTGTCGTGCATGTCATTGTTTTTAATTGTGGAAAGGATGAATGAAATTCCAAACATTTATATGTTTATTTGTGCATTCATGTACTATATTTGTCTGCCCATTAGATTAAAAATGTATTGGTGTTTAGCTATATTAATTCATTCATCACGCATCATCAGTGAAGGACCGTTGTACCAAACGTGTGACCTTTTGCGACAGCATTCGCATTAACTTCTATAGCCACAGATAACACTGGTCTACAATTTTTTAGACGTCTGCTTCAGAGATGAAATGTGCTGTTTATAATGGATTTTGATGTGCTGAATTCAAATATGACAATAGAAACAACTGATTGAGTTACAATTTACGTCTATGTATATTGTGTAGATAGTAGAGTTTTACTCATAAATTGTAAACCTAGGTATTTTCATATGTTTATGGTCGGTCGCTTTACATGATAACGTGTCACCTGTCCTGTTCATGTAAAATGGGTTATATAAATAATATTTATATTATGAAACAAAAGTATAAAAACTTATGTATATATAAGTACATGGTGTAGTCCTTACTCAGTGTCTACTCGGCGCCTCTTGGCTTGTCTCTTGTATTCATTAAATTGAGCTTCTGTTGTCACTCTCCAGCAATAGCCTGCAAGCTTTGATGGGCTCCGTTTGCCGTGACAGCGTTTTTCCATTGTTGCAATGTCCTGGTGAAATCGCTCGCCATGCTCGTCGCTCACTGCTGCGCAGTTCGGTGGGAAAAATCTAGATGAGAGTGAAAAAAAAATGTATCTCTAGTGACATGTTGCAACCAAGGCTTTTGTATGCCTTGAGGAGGTTTTCCACCAACTCCCAATAGTTGTCTGCCTTGTTGTTTACGAGAAAATGTGTTGCCACTAACTGGAAGGCTTTCCATGCCTTCTCTTCCTTGCCACGCAGTGCACTTTCAAATGCATCATCTCGAAGAAGTTCACGCATCTGAGGACCAACAAAAACACCTTCCTTTATCTTAGCTTCACTTGGAAAATTTTTCACGGAGGTACTTGAAAGTTGTTTGTGTTTTGTTCTTCATCAGACCCAGCTTTTCAGTGTAAGGGTGGTAACAAAGTCTTCCTTGATTCAACAAGTGGTGGATGCTGAACACTTTTCCTCCCAAGCTCCAATAACTGTCGGAGATGCCAATCTATCTCTCACACGACTATCCCATTCGCAGAGAAAACAGCAGTACTTTGTGTATCCAGTCTGCAGACCAAGCAAGAGAGCTACAATCTTCAAATCGCCACAAAGCTGCCACTGATGTTGGTCATAGTTTATGCACCTCAAAAGTTGTTTCTTGTTGTCATAGGTTTCCTTCATATGGACTGTACGACGAACTGGAATTGATGGCAAAACATTGCCATTATGCAGCAAAACAGTTTTAAGACTCATCTTCGATTAATCGATGAACAGTCTCCACTCATCTGAATCATGAACGCTGTTGAGGGCTGCCATCACATCATCGATATTGTTGCAGGCTACAAGATCACCTTTCATGAAGAAGAATAGGACAAGATCCTTTTGACGGCCACGGAACATGGAAACCCTAACATCACCTGCCAGGAGATTCCACTGCTGCATTCTGGAGCCCAACAGCTCTGCCTTACTATTGGGTAGTTCCAAATCCCTGACAAGGTCTTTAGTTCACCTTGTGTTATGAAGTGTGGTTCAGAGTAGGAGGATGGGAGAAAATCTGGAACCTTGATGGTGCAGGACCAGAAATTTAATCCTCTTCCTCGTCTGACTCAAGTGAGAATAATTATGGTGCATCAGGAACCGGGAGTCCTTCTCCATTGAATAATGCACAGTCCACTATTTATTCTTTGACACACCTTTACCAATTGGAGGCGTCATGCAGAAGTAATAATTGCTGATATGATCTGTTGGCTCTCTCCAACTCATTGCCACTGCAAAAAGCATAGATTTCCTGTTCAACTACTGGCGAAGATTTGTTGCACAAGTGTTGCAGCATATGTGTGGGGCCTAGATCTTGTCCTGATCTCCAATTTTGCAGCCAAAATAACGGTTATAGGCTTTATTAATCATAGTGGTTATACTGCGCTTTTGTGATGCAAAAGTCACATCACCACAAACATACCAGAAGTTATCTACTTTGTTCACATGTACGAGGCATCTTTGCTCACTTGGGCAAAACCAAAAAGTCGTCCCTTTGCAAAATCAAACACTAACAAATAAGAGAGCACAACACCGCATTATTCTAGAGCTGATATAGGGCAATTTGTTCAGCAGAGGGATGTAAGTCTAGTTATTATTGCATCATCTATGACTTCTAGGAATAACACGATGCAATTCATATCAGATTCATATTGCATCATCATTCATTGTTTTGTACAAATAGCAAGTACTGTCCAAAGCCAGTCATAGATTTATTAATATATCCAGTCAAATATGTATTTTAGTAATTTCTGGTTTAAATTTAGATCACTTATCCTCCCCCATTCCCAAGTCAAGGGTCGTATATCCTGACCAGTAGCATATCTTCAAAATTAGAACCAATCAACAATTGCAAGCATTTTTATTCTCAGTGACCCAGAATGAGTAAAGTTGGACTACATTTATTTCGGAAGCATTTTGTATGTAGACCAGTGTAATAAATGGAACAATCTTTTAAGCGCTTTATTTCTATTCAAAATACATTACAAATTTAAAAACAGACACGTGACGTTTGCGACAAATTTGAAAGGCAAAATATCCAAAATCCAACAGTGTAAGTAAACCTCGTTAAACATCATTCACTCTGAAATATCTGTTAAGTTATTTTAATTCTGTCGATGAAGGCTTGTGCACTTATAGTGTAACTCTGTGCAGATTACCTCGGTCTTATGTAAACAACAGCAACGTATAAAGCTCTGGTAGTAAAGGGATTGCACTTGGGGTAAAGTTGTTCAACTGTTTTGATTACATTTGTTGGTCAATATATTTCATTTGGGTAGCAGTGGGAATTTTATTGACAACAACATACGGTATATAAAAAAACAAGGGTATTACTAAAATGTTATGCTTTTGTGTTTGTCACAGATGTAAATAGTTGTTTAAGATGGATGTATTATTGAAATTTAAACACCTGTTTCATAAAACACGCATATTCTACAAAGTATTTGTTAAACTTTTTTTTTACATTCCCACAAAATGTATTTCAGAGGTGATTCTAATGTTTTAAAAAAAAATCGCCAAAATAATACGCTCACACAAATTTGCTCGTGATAATGTCAATGTGCGACGAGAAAACACAATTGATTCCTTCTCACCGCGTTCCAGCTCCATTAAATTGAAAAACGGTGTAAAGCTTTTGAAAAATTATACTTTCTTCTGATTTCACAGGAGGCCACGCTTGTCCTCTGGCTGCAGTTTAGCGATGGCACGGTGACACCGATGGACGCCTACAACCCTCGGGACTACGTCCTCTCCGTGAGCTCTCTGGACGAGAGCGCACTATCCGTGCGCTTCTCCTCGGCAGACGGATGGCCCTCCATCCTGGCCGAGGGCGAGGGCAACGAGCCGGGGGGCCTCCTCAAGGTGGAGCTGCTCGTCTGCAATGGCTGCCAGAAGTCCAAGCGCAGGGGCTCGCTGGCGACGGTTAACCTCAACGTGAGCGTCAGCTTTGGAAATGCTTTCATGGGCACAACTCCCAATGTTCAGTGGGATCAGAGACACCTGCACAATGGCTCGCTCCGGGGCCACATCTACACAGAGCGAGAGGAAGTGGGCATTAAGCGGGGTGGCACGACGTCTGGGCCCCAGCCAGGCGAGTGGCGGAATCATGGCGTGGGCGACCAAGGTGAGTCTCTGCAGGAGGTCCTTCAGAAGCGGGGGAGCTCCGACAGCCCACCCGTGGACCCCAAATTTCCGCATAAGGGCACCGGTGTCAGAAGTGCTGGTGACCAAGCCCAGAGACCTTCCGGCTTGAGCGACCTTCAAATTGGGATGTACACGTTGCTCAGCGTCTTCTGCCTGGCTATCCTCGTTTTCCTCATCAATTGCACGGCGTTCGTCATTCGCTACAAGCGGAAGCAGCTCGTGCCGCAGGCGCAGGACGAGATTGGCACGCACTCACACGACTGGATCCAGTTGCGGAACGTTGGCGACGAGCGCGGGAGCCAGGGGGCCTTTGCTTCCACGTCAAAGCAATCGGGTGAGGCAGCTGCCGACAGGAAGACGGCGTGCAATCACATCAGCCGAAGCCATCCGAAGAACGAGCTCGTGATCACGCTGCAGGGGATCGATGATGCCATCCGAGAAGGGAGCCCCAAGTCCAAAGCGAGTGACTCCTCTGTTCATCCCCCCTCACTGCAGAAAAAGAGGGTGACGTTTTCGGCCTTCACCACCGTGCACAGTCCGGACAAAATGGCCGAAATAAGCCAGACAATCCCTGTTGGGAAGGAACAAGACATTGAATGGCTGTGCCTTGACCCAGGCTTAAGGGACTCTGAAGAACCACACACTGATATCCACAGAATCAAAGAAAGTGGATAAGTGCCAAAGACTGCAATCTGAGTGCAGTGAGAAGGCTGCCAATTCTAATCTGCTGACACTTATTACCGGTAATGAGCATTCAGCACAAAACGGGACGTGTTCATTCAGCCCTAGGCAATAATGGATCATTACTTTTCCAGGCCAGAACCATTTGCTGACTTTTAATTTTAACTCTAAAACACCCTTTATTTAAATGGTTACAGCATGTTTACTGTGAAAAAAGTGCATGCTACATAATTAAAAAATTAGAAATGAAAGCATAAATAGTTGGTAAAATAAACACTTTAACAAGTATGTATGTTGTGTTGTTGTTATTTTGTGCATGGAAGGAAATATGCAAATGAGCATTGTAATTACTATGTTTTATTAATTGCCTTTATTTTAACAGAGGCACGTTTACAAGTGTACATTAATTTTCATAGCAGCTTTAAAAATGCGTGATAATTAATTTTACCTCGACAAGGCAAAATGCAAGGCTTGGCCAAGCACTGAGTGAGGTGTTTTGTAGCAGATAATATTACATGTGTAATCTTGTGTCCCTGCAAAGTCTCACGTTAAAATACAGAGGAGAAATTTACAAGTTAGTGTTACATGAGCATTGCAATTATCGACATTGTGAATTGTCCTAGGCATGGATTTGTTAACCTTGCAAGTAGTTCATGTGATGTAGGCATGTCTGAGGGAAAACATTTATAATTTTTTTGTTCAAAAATACATTGTAGCACTTATTCAATGTGCTTCAGCCATGTAAGTTGCTCTGGAATATGTAGCCGAGTCAATAACAATTTATAGAACAGCAAAAGCAATTCTTTTTTTGCCAGTGTTGCGTTCTGAACATTACAAGATATTATTAAAAAAACACGAAATAAAAATGAGATCAAAATAAAATATCTAATTTAGGCTTCATGTACAAAGGTGTCAAACACTTACAGAGAACCTTGTTAAGATAGGCAGATATAGTTTGAAGGGATGCATGTTTAAATGTGATTGAGTGTGCGTACGTACATAAACACTGTGTGGATGTGCTTGTGTTTGTGGTCACATCTAGGTGGAGTCCATAACTAAGATTGTTGTGTATTTGGTTTTCTTTTTTTTAAACACAGAGGAAAATTATCAGATTTAACTTGTGTCAGTTATTCGAACAAAATATAAAGTGAAAGGTTTAATAAAAAAAAAATGTTTTACATAATGTACCTGCAATTGACAAATATGTCCTCTCTTCAGAGAGTGGGCTTATCCCCAGTACCTCCTTCTTCACAGAGCAATATTCCAACATATGCGTGTGATATAATTGTTAATAAATAATGTTGATCCTCTAGAAAAAATATATAGGATGTCTTTTCCGCAAGCCTCACTGGTCAAAGTAAAAACCATATTGCACATACACAAACCAATTAACACGAAATTATTGACTGGTTATTTATATTAAAAAATATCTGTTATGTAAATATAATTAATACATTTAGTTTTATTGCTAAAAGTATATTATATAATTAAATGTAAATATGTTACATTCTTGGCTTTTCAACTATTAAGGCTTGCAGTCATACATTTGGGCCTTCATCCATGGGTCACGTGAGTGCTGTATAATTTAACATGTCAGAACATTGCAACACAAGAATGCTGCTCCACAAGGTGTTCTGTATCCAATTATGAGCATCGATCAAAAAAGTAATAATAATAATAATAGAGCCATTCATGGGCACTTTTGATCATATTATATGATGTCACAAGGTGCATGTAATCAATGTAATATTATCAATATCCAATGGCAGGGCCAGCCCTGTTGCCATAGTCTACAATGACTAAGTGAAAAATAACACTATGTAATGCAATTTTTGTTCCTGTGTAGTAGGTTATTTCGTAATTGCTTATGCCTGAAAAGTATAGAAAATGGCTATTATGCCCCACAAACTTTGCTTTTGTGACCAGGACAGTGATATTTTGAAATGTACCTATTTTCAATGAGAAAACGGGCGAATTTGTGTCTTTTCGTTCACATAAAGTCAGAAAAAAACAACATGAATACAAATGCACATTCAGTTATACTTAAGTAATACAAAAATTACTACAAAAGATTTAGAAGTGAGTAGTTTTTCGAGATTTACGAATAAACTGTAAATCACTTTCACGAATCAGCCCCCAAATATAGTCTCCCATCATGTCCTTGGTAGCGGCGTTCAAAGTCCAGTATATCCTGGTGGAAGCGCTTGCCTTCCTCCTCCGAGTATGCTCCCATGTTCTCCTTTAATTTATCAAGATGAGCATCCAGGATATGGAGTTTGAGGTACATCAAACAGCCCATTGTGCCGTAGTTCTTCACCAAAGTCTCAACCAGCTGCACATAGTTTTAAACCTTGTGATTGCCCAGGAAGCCACGAACCACTGCGACAAAGCTGTTCCAAGCCGCTATCTCCTTACGAGTGCTTCTTGAGGAAGTAATTGCACTCCAGGATCTTCTTCATCTGTGGTCCGACGAAGACACTGGCTTTGACCTTTGCCTCCGACAGCTTAGGGAAGAAGTCTTGAAGGTACTTGAAGGCTGCCGACTCCTTATCTACAGCTCGAACAAATTGTTTCATAAGGCCCAATTTGATGTGCAGTGGTGGCATCAGCACCTTCCGGTGGTCCACCAGTGGCTCCCACTTGACGTTGTTCCTCCCCACAGAGAACTCGGCCCGCTGTGTCCAGTGCCGCCTGTGGTAGTGTGCCTTGGTGTCCCTGCTGTCCCAAAGGCAAATATAGCAGGGAAACTTGGTAAAACTGCCTTGGAGACCCATTAGGAATGCCACCATTATGAAGTCCCCGATGACTTCCTAGCCATATGCATCATACTGCAAGGTGTCCAGCAAGGTCTTGATGCTGTTGTAATCCTCTTTGAGGTGCACCAAGTGAGCCAGGGGAAGAGACGGGTACTTGTTACCATTATGCAGCAGAACGGATTTGAGGTTCCTGGAAGAGCTGTCAATGAAGAGGCGCCACTCATTCTGGTTACAGGCGATTCCGATTGCCTCGAACAGACTTGGTCACATTGTGGCAGAAGCAGAGCCCATCTTGACGGGTGAAGAAGCTGTAAAAAGGTTGGTGACGCTTCCTCTAATCTGCAACTTGCACTTTCATCCAACAAGTTCCACTGCTTAAGCCTAGACGTCAAAAGCTCGCAATTGGACTTGATAAAACGAATATCTCTGATCAAATCGTTGAGGTCTTTTTGGTTGGGGTAGAATGGGTTTCTCTACTCAGCTCCCCCTCTGAAATTGGTATCTGGATCTACAACGTCTTCCTCGCTCTTTGACTTGCTGCTCTCTTCTAAAGACGGCTGCTCTCTCTGAGGAGGAGTGGGTACGGGGAGGTCATGGCAGCGTGGCACCTGGGATGAAGGAAGGTCCGGATACGTGATAGCAGGTGTATTCTTGCCAGTCCGTCGTTTGGAAGGGTCCACCATGCAGAAGTAGCAGTTGCTTGAGTGGTCAGTGGGTTCCTGCCAAATTCTTAGGATAGCGAACTTCATGGCTCTCTTTTCCCCTCTGTACCATCCTACAAAAATATATTAATTTCACCCATGACTAATGTGTAAGAGATTTTCGCAACATTTTTCATTCATATATATGTTTTCAATAACATTGAAAATTGTAAAACAGTTTTAAAAAAAATTACAATTTAAAAAATTGTAACAAATTTTAAAACTTAAAATTCTGTGCAACAATTGTCCATCTTACCTTCCAGAGTATTTTTGCATTGCTCGCAGGTGAAATGAGGTGCCTAGGGTTTGTCTCCATCCCCGACAGGCATGCCGAAATATGCCATGTACGCCTCACACATCTTAGCAGATGCTTCCACAGAGTACTGTTTCGTTCTTGTCTTGATAAATTGGCCGCAGACATAGCAACATGCGTCTGCCGGATGCTTGAAGCCTCTCGATGCCATCTCAGAAAAATTCAGATATGTATCCACTTAGGCAGCTGTAACTAAACTGAACGGGTGGGCTTAAGGCCCCCGTATTTATACTACTATTTATATTACTGTAAAATTCTATAATGTTGTAGAAGTTACTCCCAAGTTTCCTAGCACTGAATATATCTGGAATGTTCTGGAAAAAAGGTAAATTTTAAAATATCCCTGTTCTGGTCACAAAAGCAAAGTTTGTGGGGAATAATAGCCATTTTCTGTACTTTTGAGGCATAACCAATTAGGAAATAACACTTACTATCCAGAAACAAAACAAATATATTACATACTTTTTGTTTTCTTTCGGTAAAGTCACGTAGGTAAAATAAAATAATAGAGAACAATTAAATAACGACGTTTCGGAGGCAACACAAGCTTCCGTCTTCAGGTGGAACAGTCACAGCAGAATATCTGTGTCAAGTGCTTGACAATTAAATCACGACATTTCGGAGGCAACACAAGCTTCCGTCTTCAGGTGGAACAGTCACAGCAGAATATCTGTGTCAAGTGCTTGACAATTAAATCACGACGTTTCGGAGGCAACACAAGCTTCCGTCTTCAGGTGGAACAGTCACAGCAGAATATCTGTGTCAAGTGCTTGACAATTAAATCACGACGTTTCGGAGGCAACACAAGCTTCCGTCTTCAGGTGGAACAGTCACAGCAGAATATCTGTGTCAAGTGCTTGACAAGCACTTGACACAAATATGTGTCAAGCGCTTGACACATATTCTGCTGTGACTGTTCCACCTGAAGACGGAAGCTTGTGTTGCCTCCGAAACGTCGTGATTTAATTGTTCTCTATTATTTTATTTTACCTACGTGACTTTACCGAAAAAAACTAAAAGTATGAATCCTTGCAGTCACGAAAGCTTCAAATCTAGAAATATATTACACTGTTACTTGTGATTTATTCGTCACCTTCAAACGACATGTTAAAACAATGACTTTAGGGATATAATTTCTAGATTATTTCGATTGCATAATTTTAAAAATACCTCACGTTTATTTCAGCTTCTAACATGTTCCGTGAATAAATCCATATATTTGTTTGGATAACTAGACACAGTAGTGCTATCTCTGTCCTGTATGTGACCTAGTGAATGTAAAAGTGAATGGCGGTGCAGTGGTCAGTGTGCTGTGCTATAAATCCAGTGATCTGGGTTCAATTCCTGCTCACGACCAATAACAGTGGCGAATATCTGAACCGGTCCTGGGTCTCACCTAGGTCAACTCAGTCTCAAATGAGTACCTGGTGCATTTTTTGAACATCAGCATTGGGGAGACAAAGGTGGCCAGGCGTCGTGCTGACCAACAACCCGCTCATATGTTGGCATAAAAAGATGCTAGCTAACAGCACTTGCCCTAACAGTCTGTTAAAGGCTACACGGTGGATCTTTGTCTTTGTATCAGTGTTTATTGCTCTTTTACAAAAAAATCAGCCACTGTATTAAGAATATTATGGCATACTAACACATTCTACGTTTTAAATGGAGGAAGTGCATATGCTTGTCAGGTTGTAGTTGACATAGCAATTCCCAGGTCAAGCTGCCTTGACACAATTCTACATTCAGATGTAGTACCTTGAATCAATCATGTGTTTTTCTAATGTATTGGTCAACATTTTCATACTGTGGCAAAATGGTACTCCTTCAACGAGCAAAAAATAATACTCAAGGGTGAGCAGAAAAAGTTTGACCTTTCACAGCAATTTATGTTCCTTAAGATATATCATACGAATGTATTTCCAAGAAAATATTGACCTTAAAATTTAACTTTGCATCTATTTTCCATTATTGAATAGGCATACGATGTGAAATGTTAATTACACCAAAATAGCAACCTGGCCAACTAATTACGAACATTTTATTCATAAAAAACAGAATTTAGATGAAAGGTTTTC